GAGGAGTGATGCACAAAAATTATGGATTAGATGAATAAAAAGGACTAAATGTGACTTTAAAAAAATCTATGTATTAATTTCTAAAAAATGAATGTTTTAGAGTATTCACACTTATTTAGAAAAAAATTAAAGTTATAAATACATAAAAAATTTACCAAAAACAATTTCCTATGATTCTGAATTAATAATAATTCAAGAAATTCAATTACTTTAGTAAAAACTGCATAGAAAAAAGAAAAAAATTATCTTTACAAAACAAAGATTGTTTATAAAAAATTGTCTTTTATGAACATTCTTTTGAAGTATTGTAACTAAAAATATAACCTACTAACTAGGTGATTCCCGACGTTATACGCGAAGATAATGACTTTTCAAAAATTAATCTTCCGTGCCAAGTAATTAATCTTCCTCTCCTTATACCTTTCTTCTTATTCGAATCGATTTGTTAAGAGTAGTTTGGAAAAGGTTGCCAGCAATTGTTGAATTGGTTATCTTAAATTCTGTTGAATAATGTCTTATAGGATACAACAAATATCCATCAGTTTGTAAACAAATCAAATTGTTTGTTTCAGGTTATACTTCCGCAAATCTTAGAAGACCTTCTTAGTGCCGGTGAAAAAGTTGAAGCAGAGTCCGTAATCATATCTACAAGACTGGTTGTTTCCGTGCAAGAAGATATCCTCAAGCCTGACTTCATATGGTAATCATATATTTGAAAAAGGGACGAGCGAGGTGGCAAAGGGATTCGAATTACCTGATGGGGAACACTACATGCACAGTACATTTCAGTCAGTTACTAGTCTTCAAAAGTCTGAGTGAAGCATACGGTTGCTCTTAGATTTTTTGAACTTCACGGATAATGATGTGTCAGGTCATTGAATAAGACACATATTCCATTGGTGCAAGAGTATCAAGACTAGAATGTGGAGTGACTGATGTAAAAACCGCAACTATGTTTAGGAAGGTAGCTACAAATAACATTACCTCCTCATGTTCACAACCTACCGAAGTTAGTCATTCACTGATTTTTTTGCTAGATTACAAATCGTTTCTCCTTTCTGTAGATAACATTACCTATCTTTTGGTTTTTCTTTGTAATATGGTTT